AGAAATCTGCCATTGCAACTGTGGAGGGCAAGTCTGTGTTGAGACAGTGATTTTTGAGTGTCTGTAAAAAAACCTATTGACCTATTCAAGAGCTGTGATGCTCAGACTCATAATCTGAAAATAGGTTGACTATTCTGAGGACTATGACCATGAAGTATGCTTCTAATAGCCTGAGTTGCTCCTAATATGTTTTCCAAAAACAGTCGTTTAAAAAACCTGCTAAATTATTATGGCTAAAATTAGAACAATAAAGTGTGTAATGCAAAGCAACTGGTCCCTTCAATTTTCACCCAAAGCAGCCTTCAAAACTTTCAATCTACTAAACTGAATGCAGCCTACCTGCCATGTATGCGCTCCCAGAAGGGACTTGAGAAAGTTGCAATTTTCAGTACCAGTCTGGGGCTGCAAAAAAAGGGGGGGCTGCCATGGTCCTGGGCAGGCCACCATACATACATGGTTGCTGAGTTGCATTTGACTAGAAAGATTGCAAGTCGAGGCGAGATTTTGAAGGTATAATTATTTTTCAGTTTTAAAATGAGTTCCACAGATATTTTAAAAGGCACAAATTAACCAGAGTACAATGTGTTTTAAAGTGATGTTGCTTCACACACCTTTGTCTCAGTCCAACAGGAGTAAACACTGGCACAGACTGTAGCTGTGCACATATTTCCCTGTACCAAAAAGACTCATGCAGGACAGAATTTGCCCAACACACTCTCAACCATCTGTTTGGTGAGAAGGCAGAATCAAAGCCTCCATTTTCTTTTGCACAGACAGAGGGCCAGTACAAAAGAACATGGGGAGCTGCCTTAAACTGTGCCAAACCATTGTTACCTCTGGATCAATATTGCCTACACTGGTTGGCAGTGACTCTCCAGGATTTCAAACCACATTCTCCCCCAACCCTACTGAGAGATACTGGGGAATGAACCTAGGACCTTCTGTATGCATAGCTGAGCATCTGCCACTAAGCTATGGCCCTCACTATGGCACTGAGATCCAGATGCCATGTACAAAGCTGTTTTCTTTCCTCATGACTGGGGTTCATGGATGTGAGAAGCAGCCATGCTTACCTGGCCTCCTGACATGGGTGTCACTGAAGATTACTGGAAGAGGTGATGCACGCAGCTGGGAGATCATCACAGTGCAGACGCCCTGGCAGAACCAATCTGGTGCTCCCAGCAGCGCATCCTCACTGTGCCAGACTAGCCCCTCCTAGTAAGATGGAGTGACACCCATGCTGGCAAACCAGGTAAGTGCTGTTGGCCAGTCATTGCTTAAGCTCTGTTAGCTTTGCATGCAAGAATTTTTTCAAAGCAGAGTGAACAAATAATGCAGAGAATCCCTATAATAGAAGGCATTGTTGTAAAAGTGTCAAAAAATCCCAGTGAATACAAGTCTCGGGCCCGACTGCTCCTACATTCTCCTGCAGTAAGAAAAAGGTGGAAAGGATGGCCTGGGTAGCAGATGTTGACGCAAGAGAACCTAGAGAATGACAAATGATGCCAGCTGGGTGCATAAATAAAGATGATGCATTTTTGTGACGTTTCGCTGGGTTGTTGCTTTTCTTAAGTGTCAAGCGCTGTATGAATGCTATTCATACAGAAACTCTCATTGCCTTGAGATATACTGTATTGCTCAAAACTGGGACAGGGAGGTGTAGGGAAAACACACACACACACACACACACACACACACACCCCTCATATGCCAAAATGGCTTCTGAGCTGTTTACAACAATGAAATCACTGTCAACTCATCTGGGTTCAACTAGCACCACAGAATATGGATTCCAGAAGAGGAGCTGTGTTAGAAAGTGACATTCATAATGGGAACCAATAGACAGGATTCTTTTGAGAGAAGTTGGAACAGCCAGGATTTGAACCAGCCAGCTCGGAGTAATGACCCAGCCAATAATGGAACATGTACTCATGTTGCTTCTGTACAGAGAAGAAATTGCTTTAGGCTGGTATATCAAATCCAAAATTACTGTATAACTTTCAAACTGCTAGGTGGTACGGCTAAACACTTCCTGAAGGCCGTTCCTTGTGGCTTGGAACCCGTCCCTTTCTTACTCTCAGAGGTAGAAGACCAACAGCTCATGGTAGAGCGGCCACTTTGCTGGAAGAAGGTCTCAGGTTTGATCCCAGGTACCTCTAGGTGGGGCTGGAAGAGACCCCTGCCTGAAATCCTAAAGATCTGCTGACAGTCAATGCAGACAATACTCTGAAGGCACATGATGCAACAACCTAGATGAAGCTAAGAAGATCTGGGTCTGGTCAGGGCAGGGTCGGATTTATGTATAAGCTAAACATGCTATAGCTTAGGGCCCCACTCTCTTGCCCCCCCCATATACTTCTTAATTGTATTTCAGGGACACGGATGGCGCTGTGGTCTAAACCACAGAGCCTAGGGCTTGCCGATCAGAAGGTTGGCAGTTCAAATCCCCACGATGGGATGAGCTCCCATTGCTCGGTCCCTGCTCCTGCCAACCTAGCAGTTCGAAAGCACGTTAAAGTGCAAGTAGATAAATAGGGACCGCTCCAGCAGGAAGGTAAACGGTGTTTCCATGTGCTGCTCTGGTTTGCCAGAAGCGCCTTAGTCATGCTGGCCACATGACCCGGAAGCTGTACACCGACTCCCTTGGCCAGTTGGTGACCAGAGTCATCCGCGACTGGACCTAACGGTCAGGGGGCCCTTTACCTTTAATTGTATTTTACTATTAATATACTTCTTCTTAATTGTATTTCAGTTCAACAATTACTTTGATAAAATACATATTTTGTTATGTGCAAATGGCTTTAGATACCTATTAGGTCCATAAATTACCATATAACATATATTCAACACAAAAAATAGCAACAATTTGCTGTTGAAAAAGGACAGCTGGACATATAAAGGGCCCCATTACCGTCAGCAGCTTATGGCCTCATCAAACCTAAATCCGGCCCTGGGTCAGGGTATGGATAGGAGACTGCTTACAAACTCTATAGACGCTACCTTGCATTCTACAGAAGGGGACGAAGGTGAGATATCCCGGTAAATACAATACACAAAATATGGGGGGGGGAGTCACAAATGACTCATTTGCAGCTTTTGTCAGGGAACCAGCCAGCAATAAATCACATGGAGTATGTGAGGTTAATTCTTTATTAGAAGAAACAAGGCTTGCTCAGGGGAGCCAGGCCTAATGAGCACACTAACACTTCTCAGTAAGTCTTGCCTACCAAGGCAGTTGTGGAGGCTGAAGACCCCCACCTTCCCATAGCTGTCTAAGACTCCTCCTCCTCTAGGTCCTTCCCAAACAATCTGAGACTCTCTTGATGAGTCTGTCTCTGCTCCTCCCTCTTCATACCTCTTCTGGTTCTGGGAGACCAGGGGAGAAGGGAATTTGTCACAGCAAGAGTGGGAGATACCTTGGCTTCTTCACCAGTCTGACTCATCTCTGCCTCTTAGTCTCCCTCTTCTCCTGCTCCAGCTTCTGCTTCTGCACTTCTCTCTGTCACAGACTGTCCCTGCTCACTAAACCCTTTTATCTGTTCAGCTTCCGACACCTCCTCTTCCCAGGCTTCTGCCTCTGACCACTCATCATTGTCCCACCACCAACCCCTGGCTCTGAGCCTCCTTCCCTTGGGGGTTCCCCAGCTGGTGCCTCCCACCATTCCTCTGGGTCTAGCCAGCCTATGACATCTGTGTCAGTTTTCTTGGAACAGCAGCTGTCACCTGCAGCAAACTATTTAAGGCAGCCCTTGCAAAACACAGCCCCCAAAGAACGCAGAGAAGGCCCCATACAGCCAAGGGAAGTTGTGCAGCATGTGGCTTCCAGGCCATGCAGAGTGTGCCAGCAAGTCCCACCTGGCAAAACTTCATAAAACTTTATGCAGAACTAGAAGGGCTAAAATACATGCTTGGAGGCTGTACGACTTAGGAAGATGTATGCTTTTTGTCCTGGCCCTGAGCCACACTTCATTTTATTTCTGCCTTCTCTCCTCTCCCTCTCCTACTCTTTCGCACACACATGCACAACTGCTTGTCCCCTGTGCCACTTGTCTTCAATTGCTACAGGCAAAAGGGCAGCAAAGAACGCGAAGCCCAGGCTCCCAGAGAGTGCAACCCCAGTCCACTCCTTTGCTTCCTCGACTTTCAACTTGGCGTGGGGTGGGGGAGCCTGAAAGGGACCGTGGAAGGCCGCAGGCAGAGTCACAAAGCCTGGGGAGAACCACGCGAGGAGGGCTGCCATCTGTGGTTTTGGACACCCCTTTGTTATTACATAGTAATTTCATTAAGGAACTTAGAGAGAGTGTAAAAAGGATATGTTCCAATGAAAATCTTCTTAAACAATCCCCACATTGAAAAGCTTAGTCTCTGGCAAAATAACAAAAAGGAAAAGGGGGGGGGGGAATAGCTGGGCAGAGTTGTAAAACAGACAGTGTTTAAGTGGAGAAGCAGAATTGGCAAAGCTTCCCATCTCTCATGATTACAGCATGAAAGCAGCCATGGGACTTGGAACTTCACAGCCACGTAGGAACTAGAGCCCCCCCTCCTTTCTCTCTATCTGCTAGGTTAACAAGAGAGCTTTATTGTACAAGAAAACGGCATGTGCATGTATATCCCCAACTATCAGAAGATAACCGCCACTTTTCAGGGCTGGGGGCATTTTGGTCCTTGGCATGGTGCCTCACTACGTACCTGGAGCATGTGGTTATCTGTCAACAGCTCTACACTCTGGGCTGCATTATGATTAACATATGAGCAACTTTGGAGCACGAGAGAATGCAACAGACTCTGGGAATGATTTAGAGTGTAGTTAACCGTGCTCTGAAGATGAGATCACTGCAACACTTTATGGCATAGTGGCAGAATGGCTGGTGTCCAGCCTGATTTAAATTCTTCACCCAGAGAGAAAAATAAAAACTACATTGATAGGGGAACCCCCAGCCCCCCAACTGGGCCTCAAGGACCTGTCCAAAAGTTCCAGGAATTAATAATGGTAGACTTACATGCAGACGGATCCACAAAAATCGGGTCTATGTTATGAAGCAGCTCCGTTCTGGGGGAAGGTTCGCCTTCACTAGAATAAAGTTTATTAGGAAAGGCATTAAATTTCTTTCTGCAGTTTAACAGAATCCTAGCCCAGCTATTTCAACCATTCCTTTTGCGATTCTCTCAAGAAAAAAGGAAGTCTGTTAACTAATTAAGTGTGCAAAGCTGCTCAGAAATTTAAACAGGATATTGTTTGTCCTGTACCAAAACCAAGCCAGAAGAAGAAAAGAAGAATTGGGAGCACACTTTCCTTTGAAGCTCTGCCTCCTGGTTTCATGGTTACCATCACATGATTGACATGTGGGTGGCCCTTCCCATCTAGGAAAGTGATTTGTGGTGGTGGGGAGTTCAGGCTGGATTCAGTTCCCCAACCCTGAACTAAGTTACACTCAGAGTAATCAGGAGCCCAATTAATTTTAGTTATGCATTTCAGGAATGCGTACATTGGCGAAATCCAACATTGGGGAAGTGGGCTTTTATTCAGCCATCAGGACTTCGCTTTTTCCTTTCTACTCCCCACCCTGCAGCTCCTGTGGCCCCACCAAATCTGCTGAAGAGAGCCAATCAACCAGAGGAGATTTGGGGTGCACAAGGAGGGTGAAGGAGGGGAAGAGGAAGTCTCATTGCACAAGTGGAAGTCTGTTCTGCTTGCACATGGCCACTATTAGATGTTACACAAGGCTTTTCTTCACACAAAGTGGAAACTCAAAGGATTTGCATTAATGGGTTAGTCATACAGAGAGCAGACCCGCTGAAATTAATGGGCATGACTAACATAAACTGGTCTACTCTGAGTGGAAAAAGGGACACGGGTGGCGCTGTGGTCTAAACCACAGAGCCTAGGGCTTGCCAATCAGAAGGTCAGTGGTTCGAATCCCTGCAACAGGGTGAGCTCCCATTGCTCGGTCCCTGCTCCTGGTAGCAGTTCGAAAGTACGTCAAAGTGCAAGTAGATAAACAGGTACCGCTCCAGTGGGAAGGTAAACGACATTTCCGTGTGCTGCTCTGGTTCACCAGAAGCAGCTTAGTCATGCTGGCCACATGACCCGGAAGCTGCATGCTGGCTCACTCGGCCAGTATAGCGAGATGAGCACTGCAATCCCAGAGTCGTCTGTGACTGGACCTAAGGGTCAGGGGTCCCTTTACCTTTTTATTCTGAGTGGAACTTAGTACAGAGAAGGGGAACTGAGCCAGATTGAACTTTCCACCACCAACTTCCCACTTGGATAGATGTGCAGGGCCACCTACCAGTCAATAGTCCAATGTAAACATGAGGCCAGAAGGCAGAGCATCAAATTCTCTCCCAATCAAAGTCCACTCCCAATTCTTCCTTTACATATGTGGTTTGAGTTCAAGTCATGCCTACAAACAAAAACTGTTCCTTTGCAGAAGTGGCTTGAGCTATGGCTTTGCAGATCCTTTGCAGCTGTGTCTTGAAATCAAGCCAGGGCTGCAAAGAACAACATTCTTTTTAGCTACCCAATAGTTATAAAACACAGTCAGTAAGTCAATGCAAGATATTTAGAAAACATTTACCACACAATTAAACAAGAAGACATAAAACGAGCAATAAAAATAATGTAAAACAAAATGGTTTTCACTTGCTTTCTGAGGGTGATACCCAATGTTAATCATATTCAGAGTAGACTCATTTAAAATCATGGGAACTGGCTAAGCTGACAGAGAGGATACATGAGAGAGACAACATGGATTTCAAAAAAGAATGGGAACCATTTATAAACTATATAAAAAGACAGTATAAAGATTTGGACCTATTGGCACGTTTTGACTAAACTTTCCCAACTATATAAGAGGTAAAACCAGCAGGGTATAGAATTTGTTTAATAAATCAATATGGAAATATTGGGGAAGCCAAAGAGGGGGGAGGGGAGAAATATGGATATATAAATTGTTCAGTTAAGATTTGTGGAAAATTTGTTGTTACAATTTGAAAATTCAATAAAAATTATTATAAAATACAATAAAATCATGGGACTTAAGCTCATTTATTTCAATTGGTCTGTTCTAAGTATGACTTCTTTGGCTCTCAGCCAAAAAATGACTAAAGGTAGGAGCTCAGGAGGCCTTTTTTGGGGAAGCGTTTCAAAGGGTTGCGTCCAATGCTCGTCCTACTCAGAGTAGACCTACTGAAGTTAATGGGTATGACTGACTTTGGTTCATTAATGTAAATGGATCTACTCTGATTAGAAAGTACTTGGATACAACATAATGTTGCAGCACCCTTAAGAAAAATACAGCTGCCGAAGTCAACAAATTTGTCCTCATGGGAAATGGATCAGGGCCTCTCTAAATTTTATGGGAGAAGGGTGTCATGTGGGGGGGGGATGCTGTACAAAGTACCCAGCTCCCTAGATATATAGGGCTTTGTGCAACATAATTAGTACCTTGAATTATGCCTGGGAACTGACAAGTAGTCATTGCAACCAGTAGGGAGGAGGTTTTTAATGCCCCCAGCAATCTGCATTCACCAAGGGGGGGGGGGGTGAAAACATTTTGTACTAGCTGCAGCTAGGCGGAAAAAAAACTTTCTAAAGGAAATTGAGTGCCATGCTTTCAACTTTATCAAGAATGCCTTGTCCAACCAAAACCCTGGTTGGTCTGCAGCACTTGGGAAAGTTCACAGAATCAGATTGCTGGAGAATACCCAGTGGTTCCTGCAGTACAACCCTTTGTTCCAACACAGGAAGATATTCAATATCCACAACATCTCTGGAGATGCCTGTCCAACCAGATAGAATAATAAAAACATCACCCCAGGCAGGCAAAAATAGTTTAAATAGCTCTAATAGAAAGCTGTTGTAAGGAATTGATGCATGACAGAGTCAAGTAAGGAGGAGACTGTGGTCAATTTCATGTACTCTGTCTGTTGCAAAACTGTAATTGCTGCAGATGTTTTTTCTTCCATGGGGGGTCTACCAATAATTCTGTGCACCCTTGTACTTTTAAAACTCAGACAGCTTAATCCAATCTATTAAAAACCCAGCCATTATAGTTTCAATAAAATACCCCTGCTGAAACTATGTAAAGACTGCAAACCGCTTTCTGCATTGCTGATAGCTTAATGAAGCAATTATCACCTCTCTCCATCTTGTTTACTCTGTGATATTGAAAACCAGTTACTTTTCAACCATGCAAGAATGTATCTGTTTACACTGTTAAAACACCCAGCACTCTGGGGAATTCTGGTTAGATTGCAAAGGCGGGAGGGGGGAGGAAATTCTACAGGGAAAATTTAGAAGGTGAAAACTTGCCCATGAGTAATTTGACTTAATCAGACTATTGGCAGGAAAGTTTCTGATGGATTACACAGTGGACATGCATCAGGGTTGAATTAATTTTTCTGTTACAAACAGCTGGGTTATCATTCATTTAATCAAATCCGCTTATAGCAGCAAACACTCAAGTGATAAATTATTTCTCAGGACCTGGAAGATCATGGATTTTTGAACAAGGCGTCATACAAAATGTTTGCTGCTTGAGTCTGCTAGCTTGATTAAGTTTAGTTGCCCCACTTCTGCTAGTTAATAAAGCCATTAAAAGAAAATCTGATCACATTTTTAAAGACGTTTACTTTAAAAAAAAAATGGCAAACAAGGATTTTGCCCCCAGCAACATCTTGGTTGCCCATAATGCACCATGGAGAGGAGGATAATGTCCTACTAAAACAGAGGTTACCTGATTGTTCTCCAGACATCAAAACCATCTAGACGCTTTGTGCCATTCGTAGACCCTCCAGCGAGCTTCACCAGGGTTGGCAGCCAATCAGAAATGTGGATAAGGTCATGACTTTCCACTCCCTTCCGTTTCAGTAAAGGACTTGCAACAAATCCCACTCCTCTCACTCCGCCTTCCCACAGTGTCCATTTTCTTCCTCTTAATGGCCAATTGTTTCCACCTGCCAACGTTTGGCCCCCATTATCTGAAACATATTAAGCGGTAAGTATGAAGAAACCTGGGAGTGACGCAGGTGGCGCTGTGGATTAAACCACAGAGTCTAGGACTTGCCGATCAGAAGGTCAGCAGTTCGAATCCCCGCGACGGGGTGAGCTCCCGTTGCTCGGTCCCTGCTCCTGCCAACCTAGCTGTCTGAAAGCACGTCAAAGTGCAAGTAGATAAATAGGTACTTTCTCCGACGGGAAAGTAAACGGCGTTTCCGTGCGCTGCTCTGGTTCGCCAGAAGCGGCTTAGTCATGCTGGCCACATGACCCGGAAGCTGTATGCCGGCTCCCTCGGCCAATAAAGCGAGATGAGCGCCACAACCCCAGAGTTGGTCATGACTGGACCTAATGGTCAGGGGTCCCTTTACCTATGAAGAAACCCTGTTGTTGGCTTTTAAAAAAGTTTTATACACCTCCTTCATTGGAGTTTTTAAAGGGGAGGTTGGATGGCCACCTGTCATGGCTGATGTAGTTGAGATTCTTGCACTGCAGCTGGCTGGAATGGGTGATCCCCTTCCACCTCTACAATTCTGTAAATCTATGATTCAGATGGTATCAGTAGCAAATGGTGGTGTGTGGTGGCAGTGTTTATTCGACCTCCTGACAGATGGGTCACTGCTGTTTACTGGGAGGAAGAATGGAAAGACCACGGTAATGTGGACCAGGTCAGCACTGTGCAAACATACTTGCAGAACCAATATGGTGCTCTAGGTGTGTGTTTGCGCAGTGTCAACCTCATTGCTGCACTGCCCCCCCTTTCTCCCAGTAAACACCGGTGACCCTGCTGCTGGGAGGTCAGGCAAGCACCATTGCCCCTGTAATAAAAAAATTAAGGTCTTTTATATATAATAAATGTTCATAAATGTACCAACCAAGCACAGACATAGATATGCGGAACACATGTCTGGACCAGCACAGGAAGACCATGCTGAAACCATTTTTACTCCCAAGTTGACCAAATGTTTCTCTGCGAGGAGGGAGGAGGTGAGAAAACCTTCCTTGTTACAGGAATTGGGTAATCACCATTTCAAAGGAATGGGCAGACTACCAGGAAAGGCAATTAGATAAGGCAGTATTAGATAACCTGGCAAACAGGAAAAAAACAACATTCAAATTTCTGTTGTAGACCACCTTTCTGTGATGTAGATATGATGTTTGTGGGGGGTGGTCTTGGGTTACACCCCTTCTGTGATGTATGTATGATGTATGGAGGGGTGGTCTTGAGCTCCAGGGCAGGGAATTTAAAATATAAGGGCAGGCACACCTTTGTTCTGGGCCTTCCTGTGTGTGAGGGGAGCACCCTATTGCAACAGTTCAATAAAGATCAGGCTTACGAGCTGCTTTGCTTCTCAATATTCTCTGGGTGGCCTCTGTTATTTTCTCCTACCAATAGGGAACCCACATAAGGACTCTACAGTATACGGGCTCTTGGATACCCCATAAGGGAAAAGGGACAGATTTTGTTTACAACACCCCACGCCATCATCTGCTACAGGGTTGTTGTTGTTTTTTATTAGACAACATTTCATAGCTAACAAATCTGACTAACATTTATAAGCAGGGTGTAGAGGACTGTATCTTAATAAGGAGTGCCCATAATTTAATGGCAAAGAACAAGAACTGGCAATTCAGGTTAAAGTGTCAGGTAACAGGTACTGGGAGAAATTCCTGACTGACTTTGGAGACCCACTGCCAATCAGAGTAGACAATATTGGGTTAGATGGACCAATGACCTGCCCCAGCATATGCATTACAACTATCCCCATCATCATTATACTTAATTCTTTATTACACTTATATACCTCCTTTGCCTCCAAATTTTCCCCTCCCCATTAATCTTCACAACAACCTTGGGAGGTAGGTCAGGCTAAGAAACAGTGACTGGCCCAGGGGCACCCAGCGAGTTTCATGGTTGAGTGGGGATTCAAACTCTGGTCTCCCAGGTCATAGTCTAACACTCTCACTGTTACATCACACTGTTACTTATGCATAATTTGAATGATTTCACTCTGAAATGTGTATTTATTAAAAGAAAATTTTCACTTCCAAGATCCCAGCACTCCCATTTTTAAAAGATAACTGTTATGTACTGAAGTTCTCACCCTGGGCCAGCAGGGGGATACTGTAGATGCAAATGAAGGATTGAAAGTGACGTTCAGTGATTGGCTAGTTTGTATGCAAATGAAGGATCAAAAGTGACATTCAGTGATTGGCTAGTTACAGAAAATGGTTACTGTTGCATTCTAGTGGAGCTCTATATAAGCAGGCTGACTGAGCTCCTCAGTTCAGTTCTGTTCCAGCTTACAAATAAAGAGCTGCTTTGGAAGAATCGCTGTGTCGTCTGATATGTTCGCCCACAACTTAACAATAACCTATTAAGAGATCATATTCACTTGTGAGATACCTCCCACTGGGATAGACTTCTACCTGCTTCTGGCTCTGCACTGCTCTGCTTTCAAGTTTTATAAACATCAGTAAATACAGTTTCTCTTTGTTACTGGAGAAAAATCATACAGTAATGAAGTGTTCTGTTGCAATTTAATGCTCATTAAACATAGAGAGTAAAGACCAATATTATTTTGTTCTGAAGTGGGTGGGTTGTGAGTAGGGCTGCAATGTTTGATCAACTGATTAACCAATTCTAAAACCTTTTAATTGACTGAAAAGGTGTTCCTAATTAACTGGGCAGCAGACATAGATATACATTTTAAAAACCTATTATTTATGTGATTACTTATGAATGTGCAGGCTTCAAGCATCATTTAAAACAAGCATTCCCATGCTCTCTAACGCAACAGAAATGCCTCTTCTATGGTAACACCCAGTGTGGCTTATATACACACATTGTCTAGACAAAAAGGTTGGATCCAGAGCTGCCTTTCTGCAAATCATCAACGGCCTAAGGTCTTGGGCCCAGCAACCTTCAGGATCCTATGCACCATCATTATGTCACAAAGGAGAAAGAAATCCTCTAAGAACATCCTCTTTACAGTGGTACCTCAGGTTAAGTACTTAATTCGTTCCGGAGGTCCGTTCTTAATCTGAAACTGTTTTTAACCTGAAGCACCACTTTAGCTAATGGGGCCTCCTGCTGCTGCCGCGCCGCCAGAGCACGATTTCTGTTGTCATCCTGAAGCAAAGTTCTTAACCTGAAGCACTATTTCTGGGTTAGTGGAGTCTGTAACCTGAAGCGTATGTAACCTGAAGCGTATGTAACCCGAGGTACCACTGTACTTTACTGCCTTGTGTATGAAATCCAGAAAATAAACACAGAAAGAGGCCTTTGAGATTCTTCTACCATTTTCAGGATTTGGTCTACAAGAGGTGGTACTCTCTGAACCAAAAATATAGAAATGGAAGACCTAGTCCTAGATCTCCATCACCTTGCCAAGTTTGGCAAGTAATGAATGTGTAGCTCGTTCTGTGGGTAGAACAGATTTTTGATAATACTATTTTGGAGGTTCACTTCTTCAACATGTAATCTTGCAACCTAAGCACTGGCTTCCAGGACCTGACAACTATATTGATCAGTGCTTCGGCTACAGATTTGTACAATAACCATGCAACAAATACAACATGGCTTATTTCTGACCAGTTTTCTAGACATACTTGGCAATATGTGAGTCTATCAGACATCCTGGATTGTCCTGAAACTTTAAACTCGTGAAGAGATTGGAGCCCAGGGCCAAAGGTTTAAGAATTTCAAAGACATTTCAGGCAAAATTATTGATAATGTTTCACTCCTATCAGCTTTATTGTAATGCAAGGGTAAGAAACCATTTTCAGGACAACAGCCTCAAGAATATTCTTGTTTTCTCATCACTTGATGATTTTGAGCTGAGTAAGCAAGCCACCTCCATTGAAAAGGATTGTGCCTGATATCGAGTGTTATGAAAAATCTGGTGGTGGTGATTTGATGACTGACACACATGTATGAGCCATTACATGACATGTCCAGCCACCGAGTTAAAAACAAGTATGGGTAAACCAATCAGCAGTACTTTGATAGACTAGTCTACAAAAGTAAGTGTCTTGCAGGTTCTGATCCAGTGTCTGCAACATTTGCAGTGGATCTCCATGGAGGCTGAAGCTTATCATTCACCTCTATGAAAATGAAATAAATTGGGTTGTATCCAGACTGAGTTAGCTGCACTTGGATCCCATTTAAATCAATGTGGGGGGGGGGGAACACGCCTCCATTTTAATTTATTTCAGTCAGAATGAATTGCAACTAACATGGCTGTGGCTTAGTGGCAGAGCAAGGTGATCTGCATGCAGAAAGGTCTGAGGTCTATTTCATGACATCTCCAGACAAGGAAAAACTCCTGTGTGAAACCTTAGCAAGCTGTTGCCAGTCAGCACAGCCAGTACGGAGGTAGATGGACCAATGATCTGACTTAGTACAGTGCAGATTCCTAGGCTATTGGAAATGCCAAAGAGCACATGGAACATTTCCCTCTACTGGGGTGGGGGGGTGGGGAGGTCTGTGTGCCCAAGAATGTTGAACATGGCCCCAAAGTTGATTGTGCTTAATGGCATCTCAGGGCTTGAAGGAAGTGCAAGTGTATCTTAAGCGATAAGTACATTAAGAGGACAGATAAACACGAACAATTTCATTACGCTTTGTAAACCAGATTGACATAATTCCTTTTGATGTGGCTCCTTACATCTATGGGAGATTAACCAATTTGTGCTTCAGGCACGCGTGCCAGTCCCAATCATTTTCACCTCACACATGCATATAAAGGGGGGGGGGAATCTCCTATATGTCAAGTGTGTCCTACACATGTGATTACAGTGGTACCTCGGGTTACGTACTTAATTCATTCCGGAGGTCCGTTCTTAACCTGAAACTGTTCTTAACCTGAAGCACCACTTTAGCTAATGGGGCCTCCTGCTGCTGCTGCGCCACTGCCACACAATTTCTGTTCTCATCCTGAAGCAAAGTTCTTAACCTGGAGCACTATTTCTGGGTTAGCAG